TTCGGGTGCAAAGTGATCGGGGCCGGTTGGGTGCCGGGTATGAAAAAAATCAGTCGGATCGGGTCCGGGTGCAAAAAGTAGTACCCGTGCAGGACACTATCAATAATCAAACGATCATTACTTTGATTAGCATGCTTTAGTTGATCGCTAATTGAACCGTATTTCACAAAACGAGACACAACAAGTATCATGTTTTTGAAGTATCTGACTTTTCAGCTTCAAGACAAAAACAACTTTTGGAAAAAACATGTGTAAACAAATTTAAAAAATCCTAAAAAAATATTTATGCTCATGATACAACAATGAACTGTCTAATCGACAAATATTTATCACATATTACTACCGTTTTCATATTTGTTAATCTAAATTAGAGAGTAAAAAAATACATTGTTTAAAATGATAACACTCACTAATTGCGCAGCAGCAGCATACAGTGCAACAGGTACCATCCAACCTATGACTAGAAAGACCACAAAAACTGCAAATTCAGGTAATATAATCGATACCAAACCTAAAAATGCCTGAATGAATAAACTTATAAACAATACCTTTGGACAGGGAAAATTGATTTGACAGTAAATTAAAGATAGAAAGTTAAGAAATGACATAATAAAAATGCATATCATTTGCGGCACTTGAATAAATTTTTCAGTTTGCAATTTTATTATATGAAAGATTTGCTGATATGAAGTATTTAATAACATTGTATCATTTTTTTCTATGCGTCGCATATTTCTCTCAAAGACCCATAAAAGCAAAAGTGTTATGAAGATAAAACCATATCGACCATTTTTTGCTTTTTTTAATTTTTGGTATGCTATCTTTTTTTCTTTTTTCAAAAGTATATAATCAGCTTCTGTTTCTTTTCGTTTATCGAGTAATGTTTTATAAGCATTATTTAGTTTTTCTAACCGATTGATCTCTCCTTCTCATGAACGAATTCTTGTTTGTTGATTATCAAGACTAATACGGCGAGACATTATAACATTTATTAACAAGAGCAAATAATAAATATCACAGATTTATTAAAAATAGCAAAAAGATTATCTAAACTGACAAAAAGGTTATAATGACATAGGACATTTTCTATAGAAAGTAGCGAAGAAATTCTGATTATAAAATTTCTGACAGTTTACGATACATGATGTTGCTATTCACTTAGTCACAAGAGATGCGTTAAGATGAGTATTTACGTCGAGTAAGAATGGGTTTTTCTGTGGTCCAATGGATCGACAATAAATAATATGTTCTGAAAAAAAAAGAGATCGCCACCTCCTTGCCGGTTGTTCATCTGTTCGTTCATATTTTTGTATGTACCCAAGCGAGAAAGGGAGAAGCAGACTTCACATCAATACGTATCGTTTGTTCCGTCTTTCAGCATACTGAAAAACGCAATATTGGACATTTTATTGATGTACTTCTGGATTGGGTTGATTCAAAAGAATGTAGATTGAGTCATGAGCTAACGATTGCATTTATTTTTTTATTTCTAATAACTATATTTGAAAAAAATAAAATCATAAAAACAATTGTTTCTATCACTGTATGAAGTGCCAATCATTGAAAAATACAAATAAAATACTATTAGACAATCGGATCAATAATAATAGCTTCATTACAAAGAATGCAATAATCATGATAATGTTTTTCTTTATATGTTATATCAAAATGATAATGTCCAGTTTGTCTGTGATCACTAAAAAACTGAATATTCTAAACGAAAACCAGCATTATTGATATCTTCAGTTAATAAAACATATAAACAATTCAATGGTATACGCCTATCATAAAATTTTCACTGTTGATTAACTTGTTTTTTATTATTAAATCTTCATTCAAAAAATCGGATATAGTATAAGCTTTAATTAGCTATATATAGAGAGAGTGATAAGAGAGAAAAAAAAGAAAATATATTTGAATATATGTGAGTCGCATGTGTTCCGTTAGTTGGAATATATGATATATTAGTTTTCAATGAATAAATGAAAGATGTTAAAATCAGTTCTTTACTTCATTTTTCGATGTCCCGTTTCGTTCTTTTTTTTCTTGCATCCAAGGTGCAATGATATCCTTAAATTTGACCAAAACTTCTGTTAATAGTGACAAGAAATAGTGAAATAAGAGATACTTTCAATTTTATTACATTAAATACTCTATTTACATGTCTTGATTATTTAAATTAAGCCTATTTCTTTCTAAAAAGTGGTTAATCGTGTTATTAAAGTGTTTTGATATGACGTTGTCAAGTACTTTGGAAACTACACAATTAAGTAATATTTTATTTATGTAATCAATTAGACTACATTCGGCATAACTACTGAGCTAAGGATCATTGCGTAGGGTAAACGCTGACGAATACGATAGCTGTAACTTTCATTTGATACCCTCCGCTACTAAATAGTAAATAACTTTGCATGAGTATGAAATCAACGATCATCGTCTAGTGATTTCGTACTTTTTGTGTATGATATCTTTTCACTTGAGTTCGTTCTTTAAATGTAACACTGGGAAGTGCTTACATGATAATGTAAAGAAAATTTGAAATATTTAAGTACTGAGCAATAACATAATAGCAATTAGATTTACCTTCATCATCAATATCTTTGTATTGAGCATTAACTCAGTCAGCATGGGGTTAAGAAAGTAGATAAAGCAATAGAAAAAAAAGGAAGAATAAAACGAAAAGAAAGATACACATCGAAAAAGAGGTGGAGCAACGGAGAGCCAGAAAACAAGAGGAAAACACATGAATATTCTAATGAAGTGTTTCAAGAAATGTTGTACATCTCCGAAAATTTTCGGATTAGCTGTTATATGGAAGGACGGATATAGAAGTTTTTATAGAAACAGATTGCTTTTTTTATTATTTCACTGATGGAAATGTTGATCAATCTTTCAACTATAAATTTTATTATTTGATATTTTTTGTAGAGAGGCTCGAAAGGTTCTTAGATGTGAACTCTTGTATCTTAATAAGCCCTGAATACTTTCCTATTATCAGATTTATTCATTACGAATAATAAAATGAAGTTAATTTTCAAACTTCTGTTTTAATAAGTTTTACATGTTTTTAAGGGGTTAAGTTCCTTATCAAGAAACATACGAGAGAGAGAGAACAAGTCGCCCTTTTCGAATATACATTTGATTAGCATTTGTACCATGATTAGTTTTTGAATCTCAAATGTCCAGTCGCCATTCGATTTTCTGTCATACAGAATGAGAAACAAACCTTACATTAAAATACCCATCTAAAAATAAACAATTTCGTTGAAAAATAAGAGACAATTTTCATGTTTGATATTCATTAAAACTATGAAATAAAAACTTGATTAACACGCGAGACTTTGCATATTGCTCAACTTATAACTTTCTTACGACAGAGAAATATGTGACGAAATTTGGATTATTTTATTAATTTATTGTAATCAACTATCGCTTAAAATATCAGTGTCAGAAAAGTTTTCGTTCACGAGAAAAACAAAAAGCGATGTCAATATGCCACGCTAGACCCTACTCTACATAATACTTCACAATTAAAGTCAATATATATATATATAGTAGATAATGCTCTCTGCTAGAGAAAAGTTAATTTCTCATGAAAAATTTTGAAACTCATCATGATACTGAAAAACCTTAATTCAATTGCATGATGTTCAGTGTCTTAAACAATCGTTAGACGCTGCAATTGTTCTGACTATGAATACTAAGAAAATGTCGGTGATTGATAAACCGCTTTTGAGATAAGTCTTATTTCATTAAGTATGAGAAAAAAAACCTTTCTTCTTGATATTTGGGTGTGGGTGTGGCCCATTTCTTCAATCACACCCACACTCACAGCCACACCCACACCCATACCCAGTATAGAAATGATTTACTTGTGCTAATGCTTTCAACTTTCTGTTTTAGCTATAAACAGTTGCAGAGAGGTTTTTCTACTCGAGTTCGTATTATCTATTAGAAAGAAATCAAATAAACTGAGAAGACAATAGCTTCAGAATATATTGAACAAATAAAAACTTATCTTATAACTGACGTTGATTCAGGCAATGTTTCTGACTAATGCACGGACCTCCGACGTTTTCACATAACCAGTGTGCATTGAAAACAACTCAATCTTGTCAGTTTTAACAGACTTCAAAAATATTCATATGTTTTTTTTAAATAACGCATTGGAGTAGAATACTTCTACAAAGAGCCGAGAGTAAACTGCTGGTATAGAACACATTGTACCCGTAGGTATAACGCCAGTAGTTTCGCAATAGTTATTATAAAGGTTTTGTTTTTCTTTTACAGTAAAATATTTAAGTATATTCACGTGTCCTTATCTAGTGAAGTTCTCTATAAAAAGGCCAATGACAGTGTCAACGTGAGTATTTTTCATTACATAACCATTACTGCGTAAGTTATTTTAAAAAATTCTATTTCTTGGTTGTAGTAAAAAAGAAAAGTAACAGAAATTAAGAAAATGTCGGTAGAACCCGTAAACGATGTTGATCAATATGTGACAACATTGCCAATAGAAGCCGTAGGTGAAAATCATCATCATGATCATCTTCACCAACATAAAAATGTTCATTATGGGAAACCATATTTTGCTGTGTTCGCAGCAATGTTTTCTTCAATAGGTGGGTTTTTTTTTGGCTATGATCAAGGTGTTACCGGTGGTATAGCTGTCATGGCTTCATTTAAAAGCGACTTTTGTATTAATGTGTCCGGCAGTGAAAGCGAGTGCAATCTTCCAGTACCTGCTTTGCCGTCTGATTACAGACGATTTTTAGTACTCTTCACGTTACTGTACAATGTCGGATGTTTTCTTGGTGCTGTGTTCATATCTTCATTGATAGCTGAAAAATTTGGACGTCGAGCCATTCTTTTTACCGCATCAATTCTGTTTTTCATTGGTACATCAATAGTTATTTTTCCACCAGGAGGCTCGAAAAATATTATGATTTTAATACTTTTTGGCCGAGTTATCGAAGGAATAGGCGTTGGTTGTTCATCATTTTCCTGTCCACTGTACGCTTCGGAAATAGCTCCAACAAATCTGCGTGGAATGCTTTCGGGCTTCATGCAAATGACTGTAGTTATTGGTTTGTTTCTTGCCAATGTAGCTAATTTTTTCTTACAAAATGTTAAATGGGGTTGGCGATGGTCAAATGGAATTATTTTGATCGCTCCAATATCGATTATGATAGGTATATTTTTCCTACCTGAAACTCCTCGATGGTTGTTCAAAAGAAAAGGTCGAGATTTGGCTGAAAAAAGTTTAAAACGCATCCGTAGATTAGATGATGTAACTGCTGAATTAGACGCTATTGCTGATGCTATACAAGAAGAAGGCAATCAAGTATCTATCAAAGAACTATTTGCAACAAAAAAAATGCTTGAAAGACTTGGTGTTGGCGTAGGTATGCATATTTTACAACAAGCAACCGGTATTAATCCTATATTTAATTTTGGCGGTATTATTTATGAAAGTGTTCTTGGACAGGGTCTCGTATCATTATTGATTTTGTCTGGTGCAAATTTACTGAGTACAATACCAGCCTTGTTCTTATTTGACAGATTAGGCCGTCGAAGTCTTCTCATATTTTGTGGCTTAGCTATGGCGGTTGGTCATATTGTTGCAGCAACTGTCTTTGTGACAGGTTGTGATGTAACTGAAAGTATTATAAATGGCACTACAGCTGTTGAAGAGAGAATCAACTGTGGCTCAGCTTCCGGAATATTAATGCTTGTCTTTACAGTTATATTTGTAGTCTTTTTTGCACTTTCTTGGGGACCAATCGCCTGGATTTATGCAGCTGAGATTTTTCCTCTTAACGTCCGAGCTCGAGCTGTTTCTATCACAACAGGAAGCAATTGGTTAATGGGTACGGCCATGTCTTACATATTGGAATTAATATCTCCATTAGGGATTCATGGCGTATTTTATCTATTTAGTGGATTGACTTTGTTGGCTGTTATATTCGTATATCTCTTCTGTCCCGAAACACGAGGAGTTTTATTGGAAGATATTGAAGAAGAATTCGATAATTTCCAGTTAAAAAACAGAACAGTAGTAAAAATATTATGTAAACCATGTCAACGGAACAGAAAACGGACTGCTAAAGTAGATGCAATTGAAATGCAATAATAATATATTTTTATGACTCTTATATATATATATTTTTGAAATGTATTTCAATTATATTTTCGTCTATTGAACTACACCCAGCTTGTTTTAGATTTTAAAAGTCTACATATACAACATAAAAATTCTCTTTACTAATTCGAGTTGCATACTTCCATTTCATTTAAATAATGGAAAAAACATAGTAGAAACAACAACTTCTACTGCTAAATGACCTTCTCTTCAATAGTATATCAGTGAAGAAAAATAAAATCTTACTGTTATCTTACTTATAATAATCGTAAACAATAACATGCACGTGAAAGATATAGTACATAAGAATTTTGTAGTTGTCATAATGAATATGCAAGATTAATAAATTCATATTCTCGTAACTGTAGACTTATCAAACAATTTTTCTATGTCAATGATCGTTATTGTTGTTGTAAATATGACCATACATATCTTTTATTATAGACTGTAGAAGAAAACTTTTAAATATTTTTTGATTTTTGTGATATCTTTCAAAATACATGTGTAATATTACTTTTGATACTGTCTACATTTCTAAGCTATATTATTATCAAGTCTAATGGAAGGAATATCATCATATTCATAACTCATCTATCCACATTGGTAAACAGATATTATGCTGCTCAACTAATTTACTCATGTACGGATTTTTCAGTGACTTTGGTGTTACAATATGAATAAGCAATTCAATACTCATCTATCTCTAAAGTTTAGGATATTAAAGTAACGATTTGAGGATATGATCCATACATTCCAGAAACCGATATAGCTACGGACTCTGATTAGCAGAAATCCACAGTTCTCCACACCTTAGCCACACAAACATCATTTTAAAATTTTATCTCAAAAAAATGGACTTAGCGAAGAAAAGAAATGACCGAAAGAAGATAATTCGAACGAAAGAATCTCTTTTAAATTGCACATGATCTTTAAAGCAAACAAATATAATTGTATATTAAAATTCTAGTTTTTATCTATTAAATGAAAATCTGTAAAAAAATTTTGTAATAGTATTTTAAAAGAGATAAAATGAGTTTATTAGAAAAATGCTTATTTGATAAAGTAAAAGAAAGAAAAACAAAAGAAGTTTATTAATTATTAAATTGTTGTAAATAATTATTTGTATTTTTCTGATAGATTAATTGTTGATGCATAGCTTTAAAAAGTTGTTCAGGATGAATAAAATGATCAAATTGTTGAATATTTGAAAAAGCAATCATTGGTAATTTTCTTAATGTTCTTCCACTAAGTCCATGACTTAATTTTGCTAAATTCCATAATTTATCTTTTAATTCTTCTAAATGATATTTAGAATAAATAAGATTTTTTTCAATTAATTCAATAAAACAAGCTCGATAAATATGAAATGTTGTTTTAATTGAAGGTGGTCCAATAAATAATATTAAATCCGATCGATCAATTAAAGCTTGATCAATTATTTCAATTAAATTTGATGTTGTTAATATAAGAATATTTGAAAATGATTTTAAACGATCAATATTTGTTAAAAGTGTATTAACAACACGTAACATATCTGATGGTTCATTTGATGATAATGATGATATTC